CTTCTCACATCTCCTAAGGAACCTGGCCTGGAAGATCGCAGCCGTTAGGGTTAAACTTTAGCAGCCTTAATTCCTCCGTCGATAAGCTGTCAGGCGCCCTGTCAAAGCAGGTCACCCCCCCCAGGTTTGATCTAGCAGCTGCTTAAGTATTCCCTTGCTCCGGCAGCCTGACAGCCTAAACAATCCAGCTAACTAACAGGCATTCCGCAAAAAATGCAGCAGCCCCAGAGTTGACTTCAGCTTATTCACAGTCATGCTCATAGGTCAGCCTGCCTTGTCACTCATCGTCCCTTGTGTTTATGTCCCCCTGACTGCTTCTTTGACCTTGCAAACAAAACACACACACGTGTGTCCAAACCAGTAGCGGCCTCCTCTGGACCATTTGAACACGCCACCTCTTTGGCAAATGCAACAGGGGGCCTCTTTACTCAAGCAATACAACACATCAATAGGAAACCACTTGAATACGCTCCATAAACATGTAAAAAGCAACCGCCATGTCTTACAACTCACTCTGATTGGCTATCTCAGAGGCTGGTCAAGAACTTCGAGTACTTGAGCAGTTGCGCTGCGTCCTCTCCCATAATCAGTTGGTATACTGGTTATGACTTCGGAATAGGGAGAAGGAATAGAGAGCGAGGCCAGCAGTATCTACTACGGTGTGCCAAAAGTTGTGGCTAAGTAGGCTGCCAACTGCTAGGAACAACTGAGTCTACCTCTCTAAACGCAAAGAGTCGGGCCACAACGGCTCCGTTGTTACGTGGCCCTGATAACACACCCAATCAGACGGGATTCGAACCGCCCATCACCTCCTGTTGTGTGAAATCCCGAGAATTTGAGCGCAGATCAGAGGGTGTAGTTTGGGATCACACTGTATCAATCACCTGCACCCGATCTTAGCTCCTACCTTGATGGGTTATTTTTCTTGGCACCGGGCCTACGTGTGAGGAAGGAGAGAGGAAATAGATGCAGCGCGAGTCTCGTAGCACGGGAAACCAATTCACAGGAGGTTGACGTGTCTGCACCCACCGCACCGCAGAGCACGCGATGCACCTTGTCGGTAACAACAGTGTAACTGTCGGTGCGCAAAAAGACGAAGGCTCTACGTCAGACCGGCCAATGCAGCCATCCTCTATTAACAGGCTCGGACAAACGAGTTTAAAAATATTGAATACGGAATTGAGGACGATCATATTATGGATTTGCCGTACGCTTTTGGTATTCGCTCGTTCAACGGCTCGTTTCTATCGGAAGAAGAAGACTGAACTGATGTTTTTAAACAGCGCACTTTAGATGAAGGATAATAAACGACAATGTCAAAGTTCAAGCCGAAATCGGACCAATCAGATTATGTGTTTGGGTGTTTAGCATAGTGACTGGACTTCCAACTCATCTGACTGGTTGGATAAAGCTCCAGTCCTGTCGGGATTTAGCACGACCTCAATACGCACATGACACGAATAAAGCAGACTCTGAATGAGTTGGTTAGGATGGCTTTTCCTGACAAATCCTACCTAATTCTTCTCCGTCGAAAATCAACGCAATCGTCACAACAATTAACTGACGCATTTGACAGCATAATAACGCTAATAGTCGTAGTCTAGAAGGCTGTGGCCTTAGGCCAAGTAAAGACGTTTTTACTGCGTTGTTTATTATCACGGGTAGATGAGTACACGACACGGTTACTTCTGGCATAAGCCCCCTCCATGGTATTATGCTGCGACGCCAAGATAAAAAGAATTCATGCAGAGTTCGGCAGATCTAAGTAGGTATATATAGCTCAAACTTTTATACAAACCCTCGAATGTTATCAATGCTGACAGTAATGGTACCATTAATCTTAGTGAACACCTCTACGGGTACAGTCGAGAGAAATCAAAGAAATTTGCGAAGAAATCTCGGAACGACTAATGGAAAGGGCTGTTTTCAAAGGATGAAAGGAGGCGCCGAAAGATTAGGGTGAAAAAATAGGAAATATTGGTAATACAAGGGAGAATGCTAGTCGCAAGAAGTAACTGAGAAGAAGATGCGATCACTGGGGCAACGTTTTTATTCGCCTGAATTTTCAACATCCGTCGCGGATTCTTCATCAGAGACATGAGTAGAAACTTGTAGCAGAAACGGGTAACATATGCACAGGAATTTACAGTATTTATAGAACAGTCAGTACTGCAAAGGTATAAAGAGAGAACAACTTCCGCACACTGCACAATACCACGTCATCCAGAAACGACCTACTGGTACACAACCTGTCGTCGAAAGAACGGACGAATGAGCAAATACAGGTGCTACAGCACGAAGCCTCATTCAGCACGGTTGATGCCAAACCTGCTCAAATTATTGCAGGTGTGGAATCGGTCACTAATCAAACGGAAGCAACGGAGGAGACAAAGAACCTTATCGGACACCGGGTATCGTCCCTTTTGATGGCTCATCAATCGAGGAAGTGCTCCCCAAGATCAAACGCGTTGCACTAACAGCGCTCAAGGTTGACCGGGAAATCGTCGTCGTCGCAGCCGACAACGCACCTTCTGATGTCATATTGGACAGAACTGACTACCTTCAGAGGACGAAAAACCTACTGGAGGATCGCCAGTTGTATGTTCCACGTGAAATCAGCCCCACCAAAAGGCTCACATGCGAAATTAATCTGACCCTGTTAGCATTAGAGAACTCGAGTGCAATAACGCCGTCTGCTCGATACATGGCGAGAGCACAAGAAATGGCCTTGTCCCGCTTGTATGACCTCACCAAGGTGCATAAGGAGGGCGATCCTCTCCGACCAATTGTATCACTGAAAGGCACTCCAACGTATCGCGTGACAAAGTGGCTGTTTCGGTGTCTCAAATTTCTGACCGTTGATTTGGAGACCATGGTCTGTTTATCAAAACAGTTCTTGGAGAAACTCAAAGGGGTAAGTTTCCTGTCAAGTGATATAATGGTTTCCTTCGATGTTACGTCTCTTTTTACTTCTACCTCTCGAGATCTGGCAGTCGAGACCGTTGAGCTACTCCTATTAAGCGTATACGATGACATGGGGAATCGCATATGCCCAAATCCTGCAGCTCATAAAGTTCTGTTCCAGGACGTACTTCACTTTTGATGGACCAATCTACGAGCAGGGGAAGGGGACACTAATGGCTTCACCGACTTCGGAACTCATAGCCGAGGCGGTCATACAACGGCCGGAGTCGGAAACATACCATTTACTATAGAGGAGCAAGAGAAAAACTGTAAAGATTGTGGTGGCCTAAAGCCTACAGTATTCAGGAAAGCGACAAACAAGATACACGTGCTGAGTTACAACAAGAACCACCCAAACAGCCACAAACGCAGTTGCTTAAGGGCGCTCCATCGGCGTATTAAGGCGCACTGCAGTGAAGCAGAAGACAAACTTGCCGAAATACAATATCTTCGACGGGTGTTCAGAGAAAATAGCTACCCACACAACTTCGTCAACCGGTGCTTGCGCAAACAAGATGGCCAACAAAGTCGAACCGACTCATAAATTTGGCGAGCGGTCCCGCACGTCAAAAACGTCTCGGCGATTGTCGGCTGCCTTCTCGCACCACTTGGAGGTGGAGTCGCACACAGACTGGAGGCAACGATAAGGCGTCAGATAACAAGGCCGAAAGATCCACTGCCACTGCAATAAGCATTTAAAGTTGTCGGCCGTCCCTGGTGCAGTTGTGCAAATATGTCGGAGAAACTGGCAGACTTCTCAAGAAGCGAATTGTCGAACAGGCGACAGTAGTGCGGCGAAATGAT